TTGTGATTCGATAAAGATGTGTATGTAGGGTATAGGTAGCACAAAGGCTTGATTTTTTAAAGCGCTGTCTTTAATTGGACTTAGTTCTTAGGAACACTGCGATCAATTGTTTTTCCACGCACAACTAGCTATGTTTTTAAGCACAATTTAAGATCACTTGGCACTATTTTATTTAGTTGAACTTGACCATCACTTGTCGCTGCTTCGTGAGCTAGACCGACCACAACATCGTTACCGTGTACTCCAATATAAGATGGAACCCAGATTAATACCACGTGTTTGTTTTCCTTTGCAGCATTTTAAATTTTTTATAGGGTTGCTGGAGTATGTGTTTGGAATATCACAAAGGGCATTCATTGAGTCAGTTGTGATTGTGTAATTTCTCTAGTCCGGTTTGTTAATGAATTTTAGACCTATAAGGATTGCGTATAGTTCTGCATAGAAGATAATCCAGTTGTTATGCAATTTAAATTTAGCATTATGAGTAGAAATATTGGCTGTCCCATGACTGGTGGGGATTCATGTTTATTAAATTTTGATAGATCAGTGTTTACTAGTGGTTTATTTATAGTCCATGGCGAATAAGGGTTTTTAGAAGGGTGATATATTGTCGTGAATATTATGCTATATTTATGCAGTAATCGGTTAATTCGTTTATAAAAAGGCGAATTGGATTAAGGATGAGATGAGAAGTAGTGGCTAAAACGATGGTTATTAATATTACACTGGATTATCTGGATAGCTTAGACTGGGTTATCTGGAGAGGATAGAACTTTACGAACAAACGACAAACAAAAAATCTCTTCTGAATTTTAGAGGGGTTGGCCCTGACTTACTGCATATTCTTAGTATGGGAGTTGTTCGAAAGGCACCCAAAGCGACTTGCAGTCCTTGAATTACATCTAGTTCTTTAAGGACATATTTCTTAGCTGAGTTATTTACCACTAAGCCGTAAATTCGTAGAAAAGTTGCCGTATCGCTGTCCCAGGTGATGTTTGACAGTGTTTTTAAAATATTAATACTTTGCTGGCAAGTACCTTTTAGAATTTTAATGTGATTTTTTTAAATCAACGTTTTGTCAAATGTAAGACCGAGGAACTTTATTTCTTTTACAAAGATCATATTCTTACCATTCAATATTTAAATTGGATTATCCTCTTTGTGCTTATTTAAGAAGAGCAAGCATTTTTGTTTTTCCGTTAGAGAAGCTGAGTCAGACCATTTCTGAAGGTTATTTTATGCGCTTTGAAGGATTCTTTGGGTGGATTCTAGATTTATTCCTTTTAGAAGGAGAACCAAAAACAAATCATTTATAAGCCTCATTTACTAACTTTTAAATTAGAGGTCAAATAATGAAAAACTGACTCATACTCTGTTAAATAACTGAATGTCTTTCGAGAAACCAATTAAGTTTTCATCGAGTGAGTTTAAAATGTCTTTAATAGTTAACTTCATATATATATATATATATATATATATATATATATATATATATATATATATATACCTACCTATATATATATATGTATATATATATTTATATATTTATATATGTATATATATATACATACATATATATATATATATATATATATATATATATATATATATATATATATATATATATATATATATATATATATATATATATATATATATGTATATATATATATATATATATATATATATATATATATATATGTATATATATGTATATAGTTCATAAAAAAAATTTAGTTTGATATTAAGACATTTGTATATATTTTTTCCGCCGTTTCGGCAGGAAATCCATGCCTTTTTCAAGAATATATATTGACAAGCATGTAAAGATTCGGTATTAACATGGGGGTATGTGATGAGAGTTGAAATTCAGATATCTCGACGACCAGAAGATTTGGGTTAAAGTATTCCAGGAAAAAGAACAAAAATATGATCAACAAATATAGGGCAAACAACAATAGAAAAGAAAGAACTTCGCATGTAATACAGCAACGATAACAAGAACTAGAGAATGGAAAAGGCGGTAAACAAAATCACGGACTTGTAAAACTAGCACCCTCCATTATCTTTTTTAATTTAATCAGTACAAACGTACGCTTTAATTTTTGTGAAGCTATACATAATATTACTATTAAATGTCGACATTCTAGGCATTGGTGTGGCAAGGTCGCCAAATTCTGGCAGTTTTTCGACAACAAATGACATGGTATATTACTCCGGAAACAGTAGTACTCAACACAGACACGGCATAGCAGTTTTCGTATCTAAGTATATGATGCAGTCGGTCATTAATTTTAGTCCAGTCTCAGATTAGCTCTTATTTCTCCAACTACAAACAAACACAAGTAAACTAAATATCATACAGATCTATGCACCTACTGCAGATAAATCCGAGGACGAAATTGAACAATTCTACGAAGAATTCAATCAAGTACTAAAATCGACGAAACCACGGGACATCACCGTAATTTTAGGTGATTTTAACTCAAAAATTGGTAAAGGAAAAAGCGGCAAACATGTAGGAGAATACGGACTCGGTAAAAGAAATGAACGAGGTGACAGACTACTTCAATTCTGCCAGGAGAATAACATAATTGTATCTAATACATTCTTCAACTTACCAAAAAAAGACTTTATACGTGGAAATCACCCCAGGACAAATCACCCCATGGCAAAAGAATAATTCGAAACGAGATTGTTTTTTAACTGATAAACGAACGATACAGAAACTCCTTAAAATCCGTTAAAGCTTACCCAGGCGCAGATGTCTTTTCAGACCATAACTTCGCAGATGCGTATTAAACTAAAAAGATTGGAGCAGAAAAAAAGAGCAAATCAGATAGACGTCAGTCATTTATGTAACTTGGTGGTAAAGGAGAAACTGCAAAAATGTATTAATAATAATTTGAAAATACTTCATGAAAAAGAAACATCTCAGCCAACGAACAATATAGATAAAAAATGGCAAAACGTAAAAATAGCGATAACAGGTCCTGCGAAGAAAATTCTCACTAAAGAAAAACCAAAAATAAAGCAAAGGTGGATGACTGATAAGATCCTTCTTCTCATGGACAATCGGAGAATAATGAAAGAAAAAACGAACAAAGGTATAAACAAATACAGAAAGAAATCAAAATAGAAATCAGAATGGGAAAAGAAAATTTTTATAAAAGAAAATGTGAAGGAATAGAGCAATTGTAGGTAAAACATGATATTTTTAATGTACATAAAAACATGAAAGAACTTGCAGGTACACAAAAACGTAAGCAGCCAAATACCCTGTATAATGTCAACGGAAACATAATAACAGAGCTAGAAGAACAGTTGAAGACATGGAAAAACTATATCGAAGAACTCTTTGCAGATGATAGACAACAATCTGAGCTAAGTAACATACAAAAAGACATAGGTCCAGAAATAACGGAAGAGGAAGTAATGTACGCACTAAAAAGAATGAAAAATGGTAAAGCCCCAGGTCCAGATAAAATACCAACGAAAATCCTTAAACTAATAGAAAAAGACTCGAGTCACATTTTAGTTAAACTTTTCAATAGCATTTATACATCAGGAAAAATACCACAAGAATGGCTTCTATCCACCTTTGTTATTATACCAAAAAAGATAAATGCAAAACAATGTAGTAATTACCGTACAATCAGTCTGATGAGCCACGTACTTAAAATATTCCTGAAAATTACACACTCTAGAATACACAGAAAACTGGAAATCGACATCAATAATACCCAGTTTGAATTCCGAAATGGACTCGGAACAAGAGAGGCGTTGTTTGCACTGAACGTTATGTCTCAAAGATGTCTTGACATAAATCAAGATGTAATTCATGTGTTTCATAAATTACAACAAGGCATTTGATAAAGTGCGGCATGATCACCTAATCAGACTCTTAACAGAAAAGAATTTAGATAAACGAGACATCCGACTAATAGCAAATATGTACTATAATCAGAAAGCAGTAGTGAGAGTAGAGAATAATACCACTGAAGAAATTGAAATAAAGCGAGGTGTGAGACAAGGGTGTATACTGTCACCAACCCTGTTTAATCTCTATTTCGAAGACGTAATGAATAGAACATTCTCTGATCAATCCGTAGGTATTAAAATAAATGGTGTTGGATTAAACAATCTGAGATTTGCCGACGATACCGTTCTAATTTCAGAAACACTTGAAGAGCTACAGATATTGGTAAATAAGATAGCAGACTGCAGCGAACAATATGGACTATCTTTGAACATAAAGAAATCTAAATTTATGGTAATATCTAAATCAACACAAAATGTCCAAAATTTATATATGCCATAAATATATATATATACACAATGTAATTCTCGATCGAGTTAGCAAATATAAATATTTAGGCACTTTTATAAATGAAGACAACGATAGCTCAGCAGAATCAAAATAAGAATAGAAAAAGCTAGACCCATATTCACTAAAATGAAGAGAGTGTTCTGCGGAAGAGATTTGAGCCTTGAAATGAAACTTCGTCTGATGAGATGTTACGTACTTTCTGTGCTGTTCTACGGAATGGAGTCATGGACGTTGAAAAAGATTGATACCAAAAAATTATTACAAAAGATTGATACCTGAGAATATCATGGACCGAGTGAGTCACAAATGTCGAGGCCTTGAGAAGAATGAATAAAGAAAAGGAAGTCATATTTACGATCAAAAAACGAAAACTGTAATACTTGGGACACATTACAAGAGGCGAAAGATATGAACTGCTTTAAATAATTATGCAAGGGAAAATAGCAGGAAAAAGGTTCATAGGAAGAAGACGAAACTACTGGCTAAAGAATCTACGGGAGTGGTATAGCTGTAGCAACAACGAATTGTTTCGATCAGCAGTTTCGAAAATACGTATAGCCCTGATGATCGCCAACCTTCGAAACGAAGATGGCACTTGAAGAAAAAGATACATAATATATCATGACAACGAAAAAATTTATTTAAACAAATTAAAGCTAGGTTTACTTACTTTTCAACTCCCTTCCTTCTGCTGTACAGGGTCCCTCCTCCATCATGCATTTTATGTAATTTGTTAAAACTCTCTCATTTTTTAAAATCGTGTCAACATCCACATTATCGTATTTATTAGTATATTTATTCTGGCCATATACGACGGCCAAAACCAAGGCGAACACCAAAACACTTACACTTTTCATGTCTGTAAAGCTAACTCTTTCGGAAGATGTTGAGATGTGTATCTTATAAGTGGTAAAGAACCGAAAGAAAGTAAGAGTGTCACGTGATTTCCTAAGAATGGTTCAAGACACTAACGGTTGCATGACCTACATTGCCGCAGCATATCCGAGTGCATACGAGGTCAAAAAGAAAAATTGTTATTAACATCAATAACATATATATATATATATATATATATATATATATATATATATATATATATATATATATATCTTTTCCATGTTATATATGAAGATTATATATATTTCTGAGCTTATCCATGGAGAAGAGCAGAATACGTTGTATTCAAAGACTTTCTCGAGATACAGTGATTGTTGTTGTTTTCATTTGTTTCCAGTATTAGTTCATCTATGGTGTTGGTATCTTCTAGTCTAATTTCGTGGTACTTAATTTTTTGAGAAACCTTATTTAGAGTGCCTGGATCTTGAAGTGCATATAGTGGTATTTTGGAGGTTTTCTAGTTTTTATAAACTGTCTTTAGTCTGACTGTGATTGTAGAGCACAGTAGAGTATGATTTAATATCGGCACCTGAGTACAATTATATGCAGTTTTTAAATAGTTTATTGACTGCGATATAATCAATTTGATTTCTTACAATATTGTCTCCTCGATCATTTGGAGACAAAAAGACATGTTAAACATGTGTTTAACCCGGTCAAGTCGCGAATGTTTTTTAGGCAGGATATTTGTCGTCTACCAGGAATCCTTTTTCCTTCGATTTTACCCTTCATAATCAGCTGCAACAACTCGTACTTATCATTTCTAAGTATGTGCCCCAAATATGCTGTCTTTCGCCTTGTAATGGTCGTCAAAAGTTCTCTGTCTCTTCCCATTCTGTTTAACACCATTTCGTTCGGAATATGATCGGTTCATGGTATCTTTAAAATTCTCCTAAACTGCCACATCTCAAAAGATTCCAGTTTTTTATTAAGTCAACATTAACAGTCCAGGCTTCGACACCATAAAGCAAAATATCTCAAAAAAATAAAAATCCCGAAACATGTCGGTTTTTGTTATAAAACACCCATCTTATGACGTACATGGAGTAGGGATGACGTCACCGATGTAGGTGTAGTGCCGTAATCGTTAATTTTTTTAAATAGAAGTCGGTGTAATGCGACACCTCATTTAAACGAGAATTTAATTTTCTATTTAACGACATTACATTTTTAACTAAAATATGTTTTAAGGGTACAAAAACACTTGTTTTTAATTTAAATTTAACTAAATTACAACCAATGATTTAATAAATAATATACTTTGAAGTTACCAAATTATGCATAATAATTATTTCAAGGAGGTCCCACATGGCAGAGAACAGCTCAAGATAGGGAAAGATGGAGAGAACTGGGGGAGACCTATATCCAACAATGGAAAGATAGAGAATAGGTTCAAAAAAAAAATATTTTAAATTAAATAGGAAGAGAAATAATACGATTTCTACCTGGCGAAATCCAATTCAAATTTTTACCACTGTGCTTTCTAAAACTTGCAAAGCAAACAGCTTGATAAGTTACTCGGCAAGGGAATCTATAATTGCATTCCACATGCCGTTCATCATGGTCAAAATTTGTGTGAATTCAATTTCTGGTACTCCAAACTCACTTGAATTCACTACGTTTTCTGACCACGATGAACGGCATGTAGAATGCAATTTTAGATTCTCCTGCCGAGTAATTTATTAAGGTGTTTTCTTTGCAAGTTTTAGAAAGCACAGTGGTAAAAATTTGAATTGTCCTAAGGAGACCTAAAGAGCTCGAAATACGTATAAGCGGCTTGCCTCTGCTCTGTATCGAAACAAAAATCTAGTTTAGTTAAAGAAAAAAGTCATTATGTTTTAAATTAAATGTTCGAAATGCCATTCATCGGTTTCTTGACAATATGCGAATCTACTGATAAATTCATCAAGTACATTGCGGATGACTTCTGGAATAATTAGACTTATTTCATGCCTAATTCTATCTTTCAAGGTCTGTAATTTTTGGGGTTTATTGACATAAACTTTTTTATTTTATGTAACCCCACAGGAGAGAGGCTGTAGGTGTTAGATCTGGCGACCTTGCTAGCCACTCTATAAAACCTCGTCTTCTGATCCAAATGCCATGGATGGCATTTCGAACATTTAATTTAAAATAATTGTTATGCATAATTTAGTTACTTTAAAGTATATTATGAATTAAATCATTAGTTGTAATTTATTTAAATTTAAATTAAAAAAAAATGACCTCAAAACTCGACGGTACGTGAAATAATGATAATATTCCATAATTTAGCCGTTCACTGTATAATATAGACACGTATACTTACGAACAGTTTCGCACTTAGCGGCACCTCAGAAGTCGACAGTGGAAGATTTAATCTTGATTAAAAAGAAGGAGATCAACAAAGATTACAAATAGATTGGTCTATTTAAAATCATTTAAATAAATAATATGAATTGTAAGTTTGAGTTAGGTTCGGGGAAAGAAAGACAGAACATAAAAATAGACTTTAACTAAATAATTATTATAAATAATTAAAAAGACAGAGACAGACTGGAAAATTTAGTAAACAATAAAGATAATATAGTAAAGTAAGGCGGTTATAATAGGTTTAAGACATTTCTTTAGATAAATTTATGTTTGTTACTATTAGAAATAAATGTGCATATTAAGTTATGGTAAACAATTAAGAAATAGGAAAGACAAAAAATTGACCATCACAATTAAATAAACACCCTCGTCGAGAAACGTTAAATAAACACACACGTTGAGCGGCCCAATAACATTGCAAAAGTCAGGGCTATTTTGATTAATATTTCCATAAATATGAAGTAGGAAAAAGTCGATTTATTATTATTGTTGTTATTTAAAAAGTCATCATGTAGTTTAGCAAACCTAGCTTACGTTCGTTTATTAATATATAACTTTCACAAGTAAATATAATACCTTGTGAAATATATTGCAGTATATTTATATTATCAAACCAGTTACAAAGCTAAAGATCTGAAGACCGCAACTCATGGCAGTTCCTACAACAACACACGGATATCATACAAACTGAAAGACTACGGTGAATAAGACGTATAGGAAGAATAAAAGAAGATTAAATACCAACCAAAATAAGCAAACAAATAACACAATGACAATGTGGTATGACACAATGTATCGCAAATTTTAAAAATCAAAATTGGAAAATCAAAGCGCGAAATAGATCAGAATTCTAAAATCAGCCAACACACAAAAAGAGATGTCGAGCCACCGACGACGACGACGATGATACTGATGATAATATTATCTTATTTTTATTTCTTTATTATTTATTTACATTATATTATTGTGACATCTATAGGCCTAATTGTCTCTAATGTTTTTTCGAATTCATTGTTAAACTATTACGGTTGTTTGTTTATTCTTTGTCTTTATATATAGCCAATTGTTTATCTTTATCCAAAATAGGAACATCGACTTGTTTTATTGTATTATTGTATTACTTTCACCTGAGCTGTTTTTAGTGTCAATAGTAGACTTCCGCAAATATGCAAATAAAAATGTAGAAAATATGCGCATAAATATGCACGTGTTTACCCGAAAATATGCAAATATTTTACAAAATATGCATACAAATAAATAAAAAAATCGTAAAATAGTAACAATTTTATTTAAAAAAAAAGTGTACATAACTAAATATTTCCTACTATTCATTAAGATTTACATTTATTTTAACTTATTTAGAATTATGGTAACAATAAATATATATATTTATTGTTACCATTTATATACATATAAATGACCAAGTGGTGTTCAAAAGTTTCTAACAAAAACTTGTGGCTTCTGTCTGACTACATATATTTATATATGGAAAAACTTCGTTTAACATCAACTGATGTAACGGGAGCATTTTTCAAACTAACCAAAACATTTGGTTCTAAATTAATTGTTTCCGAAATATTTCCAGCTAGAACACTGACTACTTCAGAAAGAATATGGTAACCTTTATTTTTTTCCATAGTAGCTTCAAATTTTTTTAAAATATCTTTTCCAGTATTACCTCTAAGGGCGAGCGCCCACCAAAGTGGCGTGGCAGTGGCAAGTAGCAAGTAGCACGCGTCTAGCATAATGTAACCAATGAAAACGAATGATTCAGTTTACACCAAAATGACAGTAACGTCATTCATTCTAATCATTCGTTAGGATTGGTTACATTATGCTAGACGCGTGCTACTTGCTACTTGCCACTGCCACGCCACTTTGGTGGGCGCTCGCCCTAACGTTCCGACAACATGACGCAAATTCTTTTATTAATGCTGTACTTTCGAACAATGACAGTTTTGGTGATTCTAACTGAGTAATTGTTTTTTGAACAAAACTAAAATTTGATTTTATAAATGAAAGTTCTTGTTGAAGCAAGTTACTCTGAAAAGTTTGTTTAGAATCCAAAAGAGATTGGGAACTTTCATCTGTTAACGTATCAATTATGTTCTTTATTTTAACAAAATGATCTGCATAAAAATTAGCTGCTTCTAACCATGTTCCCCATCGCGTTTAAATAGGTTGTGGTGAAAGAGGAATGTTAGGTAGCATTTCTTTATAAAGTTGAATTCTTATAGGAGATTTAAGAAATACTTTTTTGACACTGGATATCCTGGTATTTACAAGAGGAAACTTTTTTCGTATTTCCTCTGCAACTCTGTTTAATCCATGCGCTACACAAGTAACATGTATTAAATCTGGGAAAAATATTTTTAAATTTTGTCCTGCTTTCACCATATAAGGAGCAGCATCCGATAAAATAAGCAGTAATTTATTAGAAGGAATAGTTGTCGGAAGAAAAAAAGTTGCTAATGTTTCTTGTATAAAACGCGAAATTGTTAAAGCATTTGTTTTCTCAAGTTGCTGGCATGAATTAAGATGAGATTTTGGTAAGGTATCTTCTTTAAGAACACCAATCAATAAATGAGCAATATACTTTCCTGAGGAATCAGTGGTTTCGTCTACAGATATGTAAAAATAATTATCTGCAATTTCTT